GTGACTTCTGAAAACGGAATGCTTTTTGAGAACTATAGGGGCTCCGGTTTGAAATATGGACTTACGTTTGTTTCATATTCATGTTCAAACAAAACATATGAATATTGAAATTATCAAAATCTTTAATCAAACACGATTTGTGAATTTTCGCTGATCTATACATCACTTTCTGTCTACGTAACTAAATTCGTCACCTTGGCCAATGACGGGCTACTGATTGCATTCAATATATAATATTCAAACCCAATCTTTGCCACTTATATAATTATCTGCATTTGCTACTCCAGACATTCATTGATTCATCCATAAGGAAACTAACCACACTCATCACTCACCAACCGTGTATTCATCTCACAGACTTATCACTCTCTACTCAACAAGTTAATTATTATCTGTTTTTATATTCACTCTTAATCGTCACCAAGCTTCAGTTCATGTGATACTCATTGTATTAAATATGCCACTGAGTCCATTACCCAACATTTATATTTGCATCCCTGAAAGCTTTTTTGCCCTTTCTGTCACACATACTTTAAAAAATCACATCATATGCTAGCTGTCGAAATAATTAACAAGCTGTCCATTCAACTCAAAGACCAGTATCACCATACTTCAGTAAGGGCATAGGTGTAAATTCCTACGTCATCATAATATCAGGTCATTAATTACAATTGTTCAGACTTTGTAATACAAAAGACTGTTTACAAAATATAAGCATCGATTATTCAATAACGATCACAATAGTAGCTTGCGACATTTGGACCACAGAACGATTTTGATTAGATATCATTCTATAATTACTTTGAATAGGTTATGTGTTCACAAGCATGTCTGCATCGATAGCTGATTATTAATGCCTACATACAAATGGAAACATTTATATCCATGGCAAAATCGAAATTATTTTCCTAAACTGTAAAGCATGCAATGATTATGTAAACCAGTATTATCAATAGACGAGGGAACACTATGATATTTTACTTTGAGCAGCGCTAAATAGTATACGGGTTTTTTTTGTCTACTCGTCGCTACATTTCACAGTGTCACTGTAAGATGACTTTTAGCAAGTACATGGGATGTAATATGTACATTGTTGGGACATGCCGATTTTGTAAACAATATGTTGACGCAATTTGCTTGTTTTAAAATGTTCAAGTTAGGTTTACTTGTAACCGGATTCAAGATGATTTAAACAAATTACTATAATAAGTGCACATTCATTGACAGCTTTCGTTTTGAGATCATGAAACGGGATAGTCTAATTTATTAGCATGATACAGCTTCAAAAAACGAGTACTTCTATACTCCAAGATGCAGATATATATAATCTCATGTGTGTATAAACAATCTCAATTTAAACCTCCAGACTTGAATTTCAAGTTTTTAATTTAGATGCGATCGTATGGAACCCAGAATACGTTCAATTTGGTCAATACAAAATACGGGGTAACTTACTTCTATCGAAGTATGACCACAGTTATAACTAAAACTTCATCTTGGCTTAATTGTGACTTTGGTATTTTAAAGACTGCAGTTCCAGAAATATGACAAGCGTACATGTACATACTAGATACCATTGGATTCACAATGAACTAGTTGTCACCTTGTTTAAACTAATACAATTTCACACAAAAAAACATATCAACATTATACATATCGGATCTGCGTATATGCATCGATTATTCAATTAAAATGGTTGTTTACAGCCGTAGTGTGTGACTCTTTGACTACAGTAAAATGTTGGAGAACGATTTATATAAGATGCACGACTGAAAACATTATCCACTCTGTAAATGTTATGAATAGACGAACGGGTCCGCAAAACTTGAAAATTCATGAATACTGTAAGACTATTGCTATACGGCTTAATGTCTACTCAATCCAATATATTTTGCATAGAGTGAAAGATGACTTTTCCAAATTTTTCACGGGTTGTTTTGAAATTTCTAGCAAAATATATGCATAATTAAAAGAAGTAGTATGACCATGTGCATGTGCATAATGATATCACGTGTTAAGAGAGGTCATGCAGTTACTATGACAATTGTAACAACTTTAATGATCAACGTTCAGTAATATGGGAGGATTGGTTAGCCGCTAATTATTTCAGCTGACTTGGCAATTGCAATACAATCATCGCCACGTCTACAATATCACGTGCGCACATTTTGTGCGTCAATTATCTGACATGACAAGCTCTGGACCAATCACTACATTCCACGTCGTAAACACAACAACAAATCATAACAGTTTAGCAGCCACGAGAATCTCTATAAAGGAGGGTTGTGTAGCGAATAGTCATAGTGACGGCGTTATAACAAGACACTGCATCACTGGTCACTACGAGCTGAAGGTAAGATTTCCTTTGCACAGGTAAAACAAACACAATTAGCTTTGCCAACTGCATATTCACTAAATATTTTTAACTGATTTTTGCAATACACTAAGAATCAATTTTGAGTTTTGATTTTATGGAGATTCAGCAACTGTATTATTTTAGCCTTGATTTATATCGCTTACAAAAATGTTGTTAAACAACTTTTTTCATAATAATGTGCTTTTATATAAAAATGAGAAAAACACGATGTAAGTAATACAGTGTTTATTGTATTTCTTCATTTGAACAAGTTTTATATTCCTATATGTATTTAGGTATAATCAAAGGTGAACAATCAAGTCATTTTTAAAATGGAGAAGCTATGTGTGATGTTTATATTTGTTGCCCTGTTTTATGGCAGTGATGGTACTACTTTTGGTAAGTAACCTTTATTTTCTCCAGCACAACTTTGTTATGTATCTAAAATCACTTGTGAAACTACGTGTTCATTCTTCGTGATTCAATTGTAACTATTTTAATAATAGAAACATTTTATCATTCACAACACACAGTACCCTTCCCTCCATGGTTATTTCACAACACATAGCTCCATGCCATCTATGGTGTAATTTACAACACACATCACTCTGTCCTGGGCCATGGTGTAATTCATAACACACAGCACCCTGCCCCCATCGTGTAATTCACAACACACGGCACCCTGTCCTCCATGGTTTAATCCACAAAGCACCTATATTTATATTCACGCCTCACAACTAGATACAATAGATCGCTTAATGATTGTAACCGGAACATGTAGCGACTAAAATACATTATTATGGAATTTATTGCTCATTATAAAAAGGCATTGATATTGATGTTGCTGCAATTTAATGTTACCAAATAATCTGTTTACAAAAGTATACCAGACGACTCGTACTTTATTACAACATCAAAGTCATTGGCTTTTATTATAAATATGTATAAATTGTTATGGCAGTATATTTCAACCAGCCATTCGACGAACGCAGTGTGCTGTGGCGTAACATATTTAACGGATAAGCGATTTCTTGAGTCTGACATGTTTAAACTGAGCTAAGAGCAACAAATGTTCTCATATGGCTAAAAATATTCCTGAAACGCAAGACCTGAAATTGAAAATCTACAAATAAAGGTATAATAATATCGTTTAGTTCCATTTTACTGTAAAGTCTTATAATATTAAACAGATACTTTCCGCAGATGATTTTTACGGCGGTTGCACAAATTCAAAGTTCTGTATAGCATGTAAATACACATAAAAAAGAACTAAGCCAATATAGGGTATGAAAAGAATGCTCAGTTATTATTAACTTCAGTTCAATTATTAACACTTTGGTTACGCCACAAAAAGTATATGTTTCACACTGTATATTTTCGCTAAAACGTTGTTATTCGATTCTTGTTTTTTAAAGGCGTCTAATATACTCAAATAGAAATTCTCTACCTTTTTAAAATATAAATAAACTGTGAAACATAAAACCATTTGTTTAAAAAAACACCAAAACTTTCTAGTACTAAAATCCTTCGTATTTCGATGAAATTACAATTATATCCGGTTCATAGTGATATTTACTTGGCATAGCACGTTTATTTTGAAGTATGTATTGGTGAACACTGGCAACAGAAGCATGTGTTACTCAGTAGCTAATTTGTTTTTCATAGGTGTCATTGGTGGCGATATTTTATACCCGACAAATCACTGTTATACCAAGCAGTGGGTCAAACGAAAATAGTGTATCTTATCATCCAACCGTATCGCAGCAACTATACTTCATGATTGAACGCGAGCAGCAATATTTCCAGCATCCAGTTCTGTGGCTTCCTGGAAAACAATAATTTTAGTCAACAGTCATGGGCTAATCAAAGAAATAGTTTTAATACTAATGCGTGTAAATAGGGTTATGAAAAACTGGCTTTATAAATGTCTGCATTAATAACAAAACCAATTTATGTTGACTGTATTTATTCAGTGCCTTCAATGGTGCGTGTGATGTGTGCTTGGTCGTTTGTTGTTTTGGGTTGATAGTCAGGTTAGTCGGTTGCTTGGTTGATTTTTTTAAATGAATGGAGTTTACCTACATTAGGTGACTACAGGAGGGCGTGATCACCAGCGATCAGCTGGGCGTGAGTGTGAGCTAATCATGATCTGTAGCCAGATTAAAGAGCTGACGCAGATAAATATCCATCCATTTAGAAATAGACAAGTGCAGCCAGTAAAGTATGTAGATTTAGTTGATCAAATAGAGAAACGCTATTAAGCTGGTTATTGTAGATAGTACATATTGTTACATACAGTACAGTCAGATATACCACAACTGCAAAAAATACTACATTAGTATTGTTGGCGATATAGGTATTTAGGTATAAATAGCACATGAATATTGTACATCTATGTACTATAATACAGTCATATAAATCAAATACAGCCAGATAATTCACTTTACTCTAAATGGAAATAGTAGATTCTGATAGATACGGTCAGGTAAAACAGTCCATAACATTCCCGCTGCTGTAAATATGTCTATTCCTAATATATGACTGGTCGGTTTGTCTAACAGTCCAGAAGATTTTGCGCTGATCATTTTACATATTTTACATTGATTATAGATTTAGAGGCTGGTACACTCACAATTAACAGTCCTGCACTCACGACATCAATGTGCAACAGTGAGCAGACAGTGGAATACACTCTGGATTTTACGGAGGTGGGTGGTGCTGGTGGAACGGTGACTGAAATACAATTCTCGTACACTAACCACGCCGAATTTGAAGACGCGGCCGAGAAAACGGACACTCCAAATGTCGATGATATAGAAGACATTCCAATTGCTGCCTATGACTCTGACTCAACAGGCCTTAGGACTGTAACTGTAGCTCAAGAAGACCTTGCAGATTGTTCAAGTTATACTCATCTGTGCGCCGTAATAGTTGCTGAAGATAGTTCAACACTCGCAGAAGCAAGTACAGACAACAACGATGCGTGTCTTCCATTAGATAGTTCCAGTAAGTACAAACAACTGATGTGTTAAAAATAAAACAAATATATATTATCATTTATGTTAAATGAGATTGTTCTCTGAAATGTGTCAAAATTGCCTGTGCGTTTGTCCGACATTGTGGTTGATATGTGTGAGATGTTAGTACTTAATCAGTCCACTTATGTCGGAGATTTAGCACTGCATTCTTTGAACTCTCATACAATGCATCATTATCTCACTGTCTTCTTATGTGCCAAGTTTAAACAACTTACGGTCACACGCGACTAAAATCCGGTTTTGAAATTATGTAAACGTGTGATTTTGATAAATTTTTGACTCCCGTGTGCGAAGCACAAAAAAGGAGGTTTGCAGTTAGTGTGTCTGTCTGTCTGTGTGTGTGTCTGTGTGTGTGTGTGGGGGGGGGGTGTCTGTTCCATCGATATCTCAAGAACCAATGTTCGGATTTCAATGAAACTTGGTATATAGATTGTTTGGGGCAATGCGCAGATTTGATTAGTTTTTGGTTGAGCTCATCTGCATAATAATGTGTGAATTTTAAGCTATTTCAGTTATATCTCAAAAAGCATTAAAACGATTTTTATGTAACTTGGTAAGAATGTTACTAATGATTGGCTGCTGCAAATCATTGTTTATTTTACATTTTAATTAAAATTTAGCATTTTTTATGTATTTTTTTATTATTTTTTTTTAAGTTTGTTATGCCCAATTGCATGAATACAACTAATAGGAATCGGTGAGTGGACCAATTTGCATAATGATGCGCATGCGTATTCTATTTTTTAAGACCAGCAATTTATGATGGTGTCGGCCATTTTGTTATTTCCAGTGTGGTGTACAAAAACGAAGCAAGCGATCGGGAGATGAAATGTATCAGTTTACATTATGAAAAGGTCTAAGAAATTACATGTATGATTTGTTATTATCGTATAAGTAAATAAATAAATAAGTAATTGAACAAATGTATCACCTCAATGACTGTGAAACGAATTACTGTGCAAGCTAGTTTACATTCACGTGTGGTGTGA